CAATTCATGTCATACAAAAATCCTAAGATCTCATAACATAAAATCCTGTGTGTGTGTGTACGGATCAAGCCAGCGCCTTCCCACGGTCGTCACTAGTACCTGAAACAAATAACACTAAACACTGTAAGCACAAAGCTTAGTGAGTTCCCCAATATACCACATATAACACATATTAGCCACTCGAGGCTATAACTCTTTGGGTCCGTGCACCCAAACTCTGTGAACCCTCAGGTTCTAACTCTGTAAACATGCACATCATAAATCACATAGAATAATGCAGTGCAACACATAACACATATATAGCATACAAACACTGTATCACATGCTCTAGTTACCTACTCAAGGTAAAGTATAGTGAGAAGACTCACCTCGTATATCTCGATAACTCGCAAATCCCTGGAATCACTCGTGCTCGATCCCCCAAACTATAATCTTCCTATAATACAATATATCTCTAATTAACACTTTTATAACTAAGTTTGACTAACCCTATCAAGTCAACACTGGTCAACTTTGGTCAACGGTCAACTTTGACCGGACTCGGTGAGTGCATCAAAGCGACTCGGCGAGTCTATACGCGTTCACCGACTCCCTCAGATCCTCTCTTGGCACGTCGAGTACTTCCCTAACTCGACGAGTTCCACCTGGCATGAATCGCGGGGCAACCACGACTCAACTCGCCGAGTCTCAAGAACAACTCGGCGTGTTTCGGCTTGACTCAGCCCCATGTTGACTCTCCCTGACTCACTGGGTCATCCCCCAACCCGGCGAGTCCACTCGTCGAACATTTTACGTGAAACCCCAACCCTACTCGCCGAGTCCCAAGAACAACTCGGCGAGTTCTTGCCATGCACAAACTTTATTGACCTTATGAGGTCAGATCTGCTTTCCCAAACCATAGATCTGGCCTTCCCAAGCATGAATGTCACGTAAAGTTCGAAACTTGATGCTTGTATAACCCCCACAAGGCATCAAAAGGAGATTTGGTCCCAAAAATAACCACCTAGGTCCAATGACTCCATAATAACCCAAAAAACCTCCAATGGTTAAGGTCTCTGGACCTCTTTGAGTCCAGATCCAATGCACAAACTCGAAGAGGGACCATTTGCTTCACATAATCACTCTCCAAAGGGGTTATAAAACCCTAACTCTAAAGATCAACCCTATAACTGAAGGAGATTCGAACCATTACCTCAAAATGAAGCCTCTGGACTCTGGATCTGCTGGAATCTCACCTCCTCCTTGCTCTTGCCACCTTCCTCTTGCTAAACAAAGAATACAAAGGCCCAAAAGTGACTTACTCTCTCCCAAAACGAATTAGCTCTCTTAGGGTTCTCTCAAGGGACTGGTAGCCGCAATGGGAGGCTATAAATGCCCTTAAATAGGCTCCAAACCCGGGGAATTAGGGTTTCATTAAACAACGTGGACTCGCCGAGTCCAGACGCGAATCCACGTCCAAAATCGCGATCCTACTCGGCGAGTTTGAGCTCCAACTCGTCGAGTCTCCTAAAAAAAATACCCAAAATATAAGAATGAATAATACCTGGGAATCTGGGCTGTTACACTTTATATGTACGGAACCCTTGAGGCATATTCTACAACTTGGTTAAGATCATTTATTCTAAATAATCTTTTGTCAAAAAGTCATTTTCGACCCCTATTATCTCTAAATTGACTAACCCGAATCTACGGGCGTTACAAATGACTCAATGAGTTGGACAATATTAGGACTAGGGAACTAAAAGACTCGACGAGTCTAAGGAGGGTCTTGATGAGTAGAGTCGAGATGTTCCGATTATTATTCAAGAAGAACTCGGCGAGTCAGTAGAAGGGCTCAACGAGTTGGGTTGATTGGGTTAACCTTGACCAGAGCGTTGACCTTAACGAGGGGTAAAATGGTCATTTTACCCTAGGGAGGAGTTTCAGATATTGACTATGTATTATTTTGTTTTGATAGCCGGAGGGATGCCGAGGCAGTTACCAGATATTCCTCACCGTGAGATTTCACAGACAGCTTTACGAGGTGAGTTTTCCTCTAGTGGGAACGGGTCTAAGACACCAATGCTGACCCATTTAAGTAGTTATAGTATGCCAGGGCAAGCCCGATGTATGTAGTTCATATGTTTCTGGACTTAGGTTCGATGTCGGGGAGGTCCCGAGAAGTAGTTACGTATGCTTGATGTCTCTGTGATTCATGCATGTGGTATGTTATTTGCTATGTGTACCGGGCTTTGATCTTATGCCAGGGTAAGCCCGATGTATTCTAGTTTATATGTTACATGTTATATGATCCGGGCTTCGGCCCGATGTCGGGGCAAACCCGATGCAGATTATATGATTATTGTGTTATGTTGTGTATGTGTCGGGGTAAGCCCGATGTTGGGGTGAGCCTGATGCCCAATATGGTCGGATGCGGGGGTGAGCCCGATGCCGGACAGGAGTCCGATGTCGGGTTCGTCCCGATGCAGCTGGGCGGTGTCCCATAGTTGGTTTATGTGTGATATGTTATGTGTATGGTATGTGGTAGTTTGGGGGGGGGGGGAGCTTACTAAGCTTCATGCTTACAGTTTCAGTTTTGGTTTCAGGTACTTCCGGTAGCAAAGGGAAGAGCTCAGGATGATCGCATGGTACACACTACAACCCTAGACTGGAAGTTTGCTCTGATGTTTTATTATGAGATTTTGATTGAGACAGATACTATGATGTTTTATGATACATGATTTATAATTTTACTCATGACTTTGGATGGTTTATGATTTAATAATGATTTAAAAATAAATTTTTTGGGTCATATTTTGGGATGTTTAACAATGATTATGTCGATTTGAACTTGATGATGACGCTCCTCGATCTTCTACAATATTCAGATTTCAAAGCGCCGATTGGTAATCAACCAATCATGCGGATTACAACTTGTGGCCCTTGCTTATTGCCAATTATTTTGCAATTTCCCGCCCCTAGATCCTATGCCTTGCACTGGAAAAGAGTATTAGGCTACTTGTTTTGGGCCAAAACATATAATACATACTATTGCTTATCAGACTAATCTGTTGTCCCTTATTTATGTTGCCCCGGGCCTTTGCCCATCTCGCCGATGTATTGGGTCGGGCCTGATAATAAGTTTATTTATATTTTAATTTATTTTAATAGTCTACAAACATTAAAAAAAATAATCTTGTTGTAAACTGGTTCATTTTTTTCTACAATATATGCCAATCTACTCTAATAAATAAAGATCTTTTTACCATATGTCATATTCTCCTTTAATTGGACACATGATATTTTCTAGAATTTTTAAATTTTTTATTTTTTACTTGTCATTTTATTGTATTTTTCATTTTATTAAATTAAAATTTCACATTTAATATGTAATGTAATATATATGTAAGGTATTTATTAAAAATGGTTTATGTATGTAATGTATTTAATACATTAAAGCCTCATTATATATACATATAAATTTTAAACCCCCTTTATGAACAGTAAAAGTAGCTTTAACCCTTAGCTTTTATGTTTGTGGGTTTTGTTAACTTTAACCCTTGGTCAAATTATTTTTACATCCCGGTTAATATTTGGTCAATGGTACTACGTGGTCAATGCCTGGATTAGTGTCCTGCATACATGTTATGTCTTCCACCTCCCTTGCTCCCAATCCGATGCGTTTCTCGCTCCTTTTTTCCTATCTCTTACACCGACTCTTTCAGTTTTCATCATTTCTTGCTCATGACACCCCCAACAACTTCTAAGATCGATCGACAATAGCCTTCTTCGATTCCGGCCATATCGCAGCCGACACTGACAACTATTTTAGCCGATTTAATTATTTGAATTTAATTATGACATTAGACAAATTGAATTGTAATTTGGTTGGTTCAAATGATATTTGAATTTAGTCCTGCGTATGTTACCAAATGCTTCTCTCTTCTCCTTCCTTAAAATCAATTCAATACTCATTTTATGTTTGGTTAATTCAGATGAGATGATGTCGTTTGTTCTAGGTACCTCACTCGCCTCCATGGTACGCCAAAAATATATTTCGGTTATACGTACCATAAATACTGAAGACTTCTAATCACTGCAACGCGGGAGAACCTTCTCTAGTTAATTTTAATAATTGAAATTTTTTCTTATTTTTTTTATAAATTCAAAATTTTCAAATTGTTAAAATTATATATATATATATATATATATATATATATATATATATATATATATATATATATATATAACCCATATAATACATAAGTCTTACATCTAGTATTTTACTTTTTAAAAAAGATAGATGGCAAATTTTCAACTATGATATTGGTTATTTCCATTACAATTACGAATTTGGTATCGACACACGAAAAACAAGGTAAATGGAATACTCGAAACTTATTTAATTTAGTACTTTTGAAATAATAACTTTTTTCTTTGTAACTTTTTAGTTTAAAACACATATCCTCCTTCACCGTTTTCCTTTTTTACGTGGTTTGGGCCTATGAAAAATCTTTCAAGCACACATTCATCATATATATTATGAAATAAAAACACCTACAATCACCCTAAACGAAGCAAATACAATCCAAATGCTTGAATTTCGATTGAATCCCCGTTTATTTATTAATTAATCAATTTGCAGTTTCATTCATACATCAACCGTTTTCCGTTCACCATTCAACAATTTAAGAAGAAGAATACGTTCAACTCATCACCGGCGAACACGTTCTCTATTGGAAAACCAACGTCTTCAAGAATCAGCTCTCCATTTGTAAGCATTTCCCCTTATTTTTTTCTCAAATTAACATCATATATACATTTACATCACGAATTGCTCAAGGGTTTTGCTAATTGAATCCTTGTCTAAAATGGGTCGTACTTATAATTTGGTTTTAGGATGAGAAATTTGCTGGCGACAATGGTGAAGAACAAGTCAACATATGCATGCTCTGTTTTTTCTTCATGGCTATTTGAGAAGCATTAATGGTGAAATTTCTGAAAGTTTTATTTATTAGAAAATGGGAAACGAAAAGAGAGATTTAGAGCCGGTGTTATTGAAATTCGCTGTACCTTTAGCATTATCTATCGGCGGAATTCTTTATTCTTGGATCATGAACAAACAATCCAAAGCTTCTAAATCCCCACATGATCCTCGTACACATTCAGGTTTCTGTTTTTTTGTTTGTTTGTTTCTGATCATGACAGTTATTTCTTCATGTTCTTGAGGATAAACATGTGTTTAGATTGCAACAATCTGATGAATTCAAGAAGCAATCATCAAGCATCCCAAATAGCAACAAGTTCTCTCCATTTTGATCCTTTGTCAACAGACAAACGTGTAAGATCCTGTTCGTTTATACCGTTTTTCTTCATTATTCATGGGTCTCATGGGAAATTGATTCTTAAAAATCGGCTGAATATTAAACAAATGCATTAGTTTACATAAGGATGTGTCTTTTTAGGCATAAACACATGATGTTTGAATTTTGATTCGTGTATGACATACATTGCTTACATATTAGGCAACTCTTTCCTTTTCTACCATGATTCTTTTCCTTCATGTTTGATCTTTCTTTCCTAAAATACCCTTTTCAACATAGGACAAGTGTATGAAATATACGGGGTTAGGAAGGTAATTTCATGAAAAGTATAACAACATGACATCTTCTCTCTTGTTTAGAATCTTGGTTTCTATCTTATATAGGGGTTGCATGATATCGAATCATTCAAAGGTTATCCACGTGGAGAAAGGGATCCCAATGAGCAAGAGATCAAGAACCTAAGAAACTCAGTCAGAATCCTAAAAGAAAGAGAACGAAACTTGGAAATCGAGTTACTTGAATACTATGGTCAAAAAGAGCAAGAAACTGCTGTTATGGAGCTTCAAAATCGTCTTAAACTAAATAACATGGAGGCTAAACTTTATGCTCTTAAAATCGAGTCTTTGCAAGCTGATAATAGGAGATTACAAGCACAAATGATTGATTACACGAAAGTTGTAACGGATCTTGAAGCCGCACGTGCCAAAATAAAAATGCTCAAAAAGAAGCATAAATCGGATGCCGAAGAAAACAAGAAGCAAATCTTGGATTTTCAACAACGAGTTCAAAAAATGCAAGACAACGAACACATACGCGTGGTTAAAGTTGACCCGGATTTTGAATTAAGCCAGAATAAAGTTAAAAATTTGGAAGCTGAAGTTGAAGATTTGAGAAAATCGAACCATAGTTTGCGGTTAGAAAATTCGGATTTGGAGCGAAGGTTAGATTGTGTTCAAATGCTCGCTACATCGGTTTTGGAAGATAGTGAAGTAAGTCGTTTAATGTTTTTTATTTTGTGTCCAAATTTTCCATCAATTTCTTTTTTTTATTCGTTTATGTTAATGTCTCATATTATCTAGACATATTTCCTTGTGCGTTATGGTCTAATCTCTCTCCTTAAAAGGGTTATTTTAGAGAGAAAATAAATAACATCACGTATAAAATATATTAGAGCCAACATCTAGGAACATGTTAGACGATTTGTGTCCTACATTAGATAGACATGTTCTGTCTACTTTTATATATGTTATACCTTGTCCCTGTGTTCAAATTAACGAAGGAAAAGAAGGGAAACAAATGAAATTGAGAAAAAAGTAAAAGAAATTATGTTCATGAGTTTCAAGAAAATGAAAAGAAATGAAGTGATCACTTTCTCTCTTAACTCTTATTCCAACTTGGAATGATTTGAAGAGAAAGGAAAAAAAATGTTTAATTTTCCTTTTATTTTTGTCGAACTAGAGAATACAAAATACAATTTTATTTTATTTTCCTTTTTTCCTTACTTTTTTTTTCTTTTCTTTTCTTTTCTATGCTAAAACTAGGAACTAGAGACTACCTTTTTCCACATTTTCCCACATATCCTACATGAATCTAACTTACATATTACATATGTAGAATGAAAAACTCAAAGAAGAAAGTGAGAACTTGAAGAAACAAAATGAAGAAATGTCACAAGAAATCGAGCGACTTCGAGCCGAAAAATGTGCTGACGTGGAAGAACTTGTTTATCTTAGATGGATTAACGCGTGTTTAAGACACGAGCTTCGTAATTACAATCCAGGACCCGATAAAACAAGTGCAAGAGACCTCAGTAAATCACTAAGTCCAAAATCAGAAGACAAAGCTAAAAAAATGATCCTTGAGTACGCAAACAAAGAAGGTGGTGGAGAAACGAATATAAACGTAACCGACATTGACTCAGATCGATGGTCAAGATCTTCCATGATGACTGATTCAATGGAACTTGATGAATCCTTTATCAATGATTCATTGCCTCGTAAAAACAACAATAAGTTCTTTGGGAAAATCATTCGACTTCTAAGAGGGAAAAGCAGAAATTCATCAAGATCATCCGAGAATCGGAAATTAAGAACATGTACATCATCGGTGGGATCATCTAATCGTAGTTCGATAGATTCAAGAAGATTAACTCGTAGACATAGTGATGTATGCTTTTACAAACAGATTGATTCCATTGATGAAGAAGATGATGATGATGATGGTGGTCGTTTGTGTTCATCTTCTTCGTGTAGTAAAGATAAAGAGCTAGCTAAATACGCAGAAGCTTTAAAAGACACACGTGCTTCATCGAACTTGAAGTTACACAGGAGTTCCTTATCACTTGATTTCATTTGATCATATTTTTATTGTAATATTGTTAGAAACTTAGATCTTTTGACCAAATACATCAAAATACATATATATTATCGTCTTATGAGTTATGTCAACAAACATTATATAAAAGTATTTATTTATTATTCTTTTTGAAATTTTTTTTGTTATCATTCCTAGAAATCGTTTCTAACGTAACCCCATCAAAATCGAGTGACTTCCATGTTATTTTTTATCTTACGAATTAGAAAAAGAAAAACTAAATAAATATTTAAAGAATTGATATCACAGGAGCATATTGACGAATACTTCCCAAAACGGTGACGTTTAATCATTTCCAAAGGTTCGATTAAGTTCCCCCCCTTCCGTAATCTAGCCGTATGTCTCTATAAATAAACAATTTCTTCAAAAATCACTTTCATTCAAGTTCAGAAACCCCATCTTCGTTTGATTCTTTTCTCTAATGGCGAAATGCGTTCTTCTTCAAGCTTCACCACCACGACCACCGCTGTTAATATCACCCCGCCGGTTACTACCACCACCACCCACAGGAAACCCGTTTACACTTTACGCCGGTGATCTCCACCCAAGCGTCAACGAAATTGACCTCTATTTCTTCTTTTCTGTAATTGGCCCATTACACTCTGTTCATCTTTGCAGAGATCGTTTCTCCCACAAATCTCTTCGCTACGCTTACATCAATTTCTACTTTCCTTTTAATGGTAATAACTTTACTTCCCTTTTGTTGTATCTTGATTTGATTCTTGAATTAATCTTTTTTGTGGGTTCTTGATCATACTGGGTATTTTGTTTAACAGCTGCTGATGCATTGTGTCGATTAAACCACATGGAATTAAAAGGGAAATCCATCAGGTTAATGTGGTGTCAGAGAGACCCAATTTTGCGAAAAACTGGAATCGGGAATCTTTTTGTCAAGAATCTTGATTTGTCAATTCATGAGGCTAAGTTGGAACAAGTCTTTGGGATATTTGGGAGGATTCTTTCTTGTAAAATTGCGAAAGAAGGTAATGGAAAGAGTAAGGGATTTGGATTTGTGCAATTTGATTCAGAGGAATCGGCTTTAGATGCTCTCGATGCATTAAATGGATGTGTACTTAAGGGCAAGATTTTGTAAGTTTCTTTTGGTTGTTAATTTATTATCTCGCTTCAGATTCAAGTGTTTCTTGACATTGACATTAATGTGTTTCGATATTTAGAACTGTTGCGAAGTATCTGAAGAAAAGCGAGAGGAAGGAACCCCAATTTACAAACGTTTATGTGAAAAATCTGGATGAAAACTTCACAGAGAGTTCGTTAATTGAAAAGTTTTCAGAGTATGGAAAGGTTACAAGTGCTGTGATTATGAACGACGAAGAAGGAAAATCAAAAGGGTTTGGATTCGTCAATTTTGAATCGCATGATAACGCTAAGATCGCCATTGAAGCCCTAAACGGTGAAGTAATCGGTAAAATCTGATCATTCCATTGTTTATCTAATTCGAATGTTCTTGTTTTTAGAAAGATTTACATCTTTGAATTTGTAAACGAAACAGGTTTAAAGAAATTGTATGTTGGAAAGGCAATGATGAAAGCTGCAAGAGATTCTTTCTTACGACGTACCCATGATCAAAAAACGAAACCGATCATTACTTCAAATCTGTATGTGAGAAATCTTGCTACATCTGTAAACGAAAAGGATCTTCGTGAAGTTTTTGGTGCTTTCGGTTGTGTTGTTTTCACGAAAGTGATACGTTTCAGTAATGGAGTAAGCAAAGGAATCGCGTCTGTTTGTTTTTCGAAACCAGAAGAAGCCATGAAAGCTGTGAAGAATCTTAATGGTGATTAGTTCTATTCAATTCAAATCTTGTTTATCCGATTCTTGATTTTACGATTTCATTTACGTGATCTTGGTTTTGTTTTTTTGCAGGTTTTTGTTATCATGGAAAGTACATGAAAGTGACAGTTGCTATGAGTAGAGAAGAATATGCGAGAAGATTGCAGACCCTTTTTCCCTTCAACTTCTTTTATAAAGCTCCAAACTTGAAGCCATATTTGGAAACTAAAGTTCAGAGAGATGATCATCATCAAGTAAACGAAACCAAAACAAGCTCCTGCAATTGCGGATTTGCTAAATCATGTAATGAATAGAAACAAATACGTGTAAAATTGAATCTGGGATTCTTGAATACAAGTTGTAATCGATGATTTGAATTCAGACATAACGAAAAACAGAAGTAATAGTAATAATAGAAACTTGATTTTGCCCTTTTCGAATTATAGAAACATTGTGTACATGAAAGTAATACAAAGTTTATAAGAAAAAAAGTGCGATGACGATTTTGATTAACCGAGTAGGCCGATTCCGGCGACGATTAAGGTGTCAGCAAGGACTTGATTAGCAGCTTCAGATGGATGAAAACTATCCCAGAACACAAACTGAGTCGCATTTGGACATGTCCCGATCGATTTAGGGTTACATAAGAACACCGTCGTCTCCACTCTTCCTGTTCCACAACATCCTCTCGACGCCTCCACAAACCCTAAAATTACAGATAAAGATAAACGATTAGATGTAATCATGTAAACGAAATCGAATTTATACTATAAGGATATGAAATTTCAGACTTAATTTCAGTTACTACCATGGGAGGCGGGATCTTTGATGAGGTCGTAGAGTGGTTGAAAGATGTCGAAGATAACAATCTTGAGACCTGGGAGTTGTGATCCGAGTTGGGTTGCAGCTGAATTTATCTTCTTGTTGAACGATTGAGCATCTGTGTTGATTTTGCTTACACACCCCTTTTCATGGGATCCGAACAAAGTTCTCACCGCCGGCAAGCAGCCAAGCGGTGGGAGTGACGTCACTCCGATTCTCCTTGCTCCTAATCCATACAAATCCTGTTTTCGTTTGTAACCAATTAGTAAAATCCACGATAGTAAAACACCTGATTTCGAGAAACGTTAATGGCGGATTAGGATTAATTTTACCTTGACGAAGCTTGAAAAGATTCCGACGAGGTAGGATCCGTATTGGTCGGCAGTGTAGACTTTGTTAATGAAAGGGTTGACGTAATAGTTCTGAACGTAATCGGTGTTGCCGGCGGAAAGTAAGTATAAAGCGTCCTTAGTTATGGAGGCGGCTTTAGAACTTCCGGCGACCTGCGCTAGCTTACCTTGATACTCTTTGTAGTATTGTAATTGTTGCGATAATGCAATTGCATGCTGCATATTTCGAAATTAACGATGTGTTAATTATCATCGGAAAAGATAATAGCTAATTCAGTTGAAGAAAATGTTGGGTTTTTACGCTCGCTATGGAAGTTCTATCATCCAAACCAGCTCCGGCAGACGCAAAATTGGCTCCGATGAGAAGATTATTTCCGGAAGCTTCAGGGCTGAGATACGCCGGTGGGTATGTTTTGAATCCAAGTGTATCAGCTGTAGCAAAGCAGCAAACATATCGTTTTATCAGATGTTAGAGTTTCAAAACATGCATGTTACACAGTTGGTGTAGCTATTAGCTAAGTTACCGGTGATATCGGAGGCGAGTTTGCCATTGCAGAACCTTCCGGTGGGTTGGTGATTGGCGAAGTCGCGGCCGTAGGGTGGGTAATTAGCTTTGAAAAGGGTGTTGAGGTAGTCGTTATTACCCACATCAACAGCGGAGTCACCGAAAGTAATGATGGCTGGAACTAGGGTGGTGGAGTCTTGAGCTTCACCGGAAGTAATGGCGATGGCCAGAAGTGAAAGGAGCAGCGCCGCCGCCCATGGTGTTGTTCTGCTGGGTGTGGAAGTGGACGCCATTGACAGCTTTGTTGGAAATTATAATTTGGGAGTATGTGTGAAGGAAGGCCTGTTTATAAAGATGGAGCATTTAATGGACGTCGTCAAGGTTGGTAGAGACTCCATTAATACAGATGGGTGATCATTGATCATTGTTTTGGTTCGACAAATGCACAGAGCGAAGTCTGTAAGTTTGAGCGTGCTATGGGGTGGTTTAGGTTTACCTCTAAAATGATGATACATTTTGTTTCTTCACGATATATAATAACAATAAATACTAAATGTACCACATATAGTACATATTGGATTTCGTTTTACCGCTGATATCAACACAAAGATTTTTGTTATAAATATGGTTTTGGAGTAAATTATAGATTTGGTCCCTTTAGTTTGTTTCTATATATACTTTTAGGACAACTTTTGAAAAATTCATATGGTTGGTCCATGTGGCTTTCAAATTTTGTACTAGAGGTCCCTAAGATAAAAACCAGGTAAAATGAAAATGTCTTAGTTTTTTTTTTAATTTTTTTTTTTTTTTTTTTTTAAAGCTTAGCGCACCATTTCTATAAACTATTAAAAAACACCGTAAAGGCCTAAACTCTAGCCCATCGACGAAGCTTGCCGATGCCCACACCCTTTTCGATCTTATCACATGCAACTCGGAACCCACCTCTCTCATTAGCACAACAAAACCTACATCTCTCTCTCCCCCCTCTCTTTCAACTGCAAGTTCGACCCATGTTGTTGAAATCCACATCCCTCCCATGTTTTATTACTTCATATTGATTTGGGTTTAGGTTTAATTTAGGTTTTAGGTTTGAAGATATATTTTAGTTCTTTAGTTTGTTATTTTCTTTTCATTGTCTTCTTCATTTTAGTTCTTTAGTTTATTTTTCACATTGATTTGGGTGAGTTTGCAAGGAGCTTCATAAAGATCTCTCTCTTTCCAAGCACCATAATTTTGTTTTGATTTCAAAATTAGGTGCGACTTGTTGGTTTTGACTTTGAGCAGGAAACGGGAAAACCCAAAAGTTTGAAGATCATAAACATGGGACAGTTCAGCCAAACCCATGTCAAAATCTTGGAACTGAGTTAACCGATCAATCCAAAATAGGCTTCTCCAGATCGCATGCATGGTTTGAATATAAGATATTTTTTGTAACCTCAAAGAATTCAAAGACGATACTAGAAAAAGGATAGGTCAAGCCTAAAGAAAATGGATACTCGGGGAAGCAAACCCAAATATGCGAAACAAAGTTAGGTTGGGCATGAGCGTTAAAAGGCTTGAAAAGGCTTTCAGTAGGAAAAGCCCCACCCATTTTTAAGGATTAAATGTCATTATCATCAAAAGAGCATGTCTCTTCGTAAGTCAGGATCTTTTGATCGAAAAAAATCCTCTTCAGTAAGAATGAGGACTCTTGCACGCGAAAGAAGTGTCATTTTACCCATGATAAACACGAAAAAAAGAAAAACAAGAGAAATCAAATCAAGAGGTTTACCTTGGGGATGACTGATAACACTTGAGAGATAGCTAGAAGAAGTAAAGAAGGATCAACAACCACTATTATTACCAAACACAACCCCAAAGGGAACATACTATCCGCTTTAGATTCACTGAACTTGACCCATAACAAGTATATGATGCCTAACATCTTAAGGCTACAAGTGCCCTAAGATCGAAACAACAATGGGTGAACAAGTCTAACCATCACCCCACGACATCCAATGCATGCTAGAGAGCAACCCTAGTCACAACACAACTCAAACTTAGGAAACTTAGATAAACTTCATTAGGTGTTTGGACCATGTCTCGGATCCCCAAGCCTTTATCAGACAAGAATATATAGAGAGCTCCTCAACACAATCCTCGACCCAAGCCTAACAAACTATCCCTATGTACATGTCAACACGACATCCTATAACTAAACTTTGCACAAACTCAAGGCCACATAAGGAGAATTTATGAACACCGCTCCTAACATTTGAAGTGCTACTACCTCGTGCCAAAACCTTCAACTAATCATAGATGAACGTGATAATCACTAAAACCGGCTGATCTACCATGGCCCGAACATTCTCAATCCATAAACCTCCTAAATATGATTGGTGCAATAAAGAGCCTAAATTGTATCACCACATACACTTACGACCATACCCCAATATGAAGGTTGACATCAAACACTAAATTACTCCCATACTTAGGACGATACACGATAGAACATTCAATAAAGAAAGTGTTGGATTAGGTGTCTAAGCCCATAACTATAATTGGTATGTACTTAACCCGAGAGTAGCATGGTCCATTTGGGTTGAATATCACCATGACAATTTGATAGAATGGACTTTTGAGAAGAGGTTAATTATGATTTATTAATATATTGTGAGTTCTAATATATTACTATGAAATCATATTATTTAATTAGTATTGATCAAGAATTAATTTAGTGATCAAAAGAGACTAATTAAATGTAAGGGGGATGATTTGGTAAATCAATCATTCTTATGGTGTGGGCTTATGGTGATTTAGGATGGGCAAAACCAATATGGTAGTCCATGGAGGTTTTAAACCATGGATCCTATGTAAGATGAAAAGTCATTCACATTAGGGTTTACATGGATGTAACCCTAATCCTAGCCACAGTATATAAGAAGACCCTAAGCTACTAAAATTGTGACCCTAGTGATCTTTGTAAGACCATTACCAATTTTAGGATGCATAAACTCTCTCAAAAGTCATCCTTTGTCTAAGGTGTGTTGTGAACCATTTGAGGTGTCAGACTTGGGGCACTAAGTTCTTAAACGCCAAACACAACAAGCTCTACAAGCTACATAAAGAGGTAAACTTCCAACTAGTATTTTATGTTGTTTATGTCAATTGTATGCAAGTTATAGGCTTAAATCTTTGGAAACAATATTGCATGTATAATTAGAGAAAACATAGATCCGAAGCTTTTAGGGTTGTATGTGCACCATAGGATGTTGTAGTATACTAAAACCCAACAGTGGTATCAGAGCCATGAGTTGTTTTCTATTATATTTGATGCAAATGTGTTATTTTTCAAAGCTAAAAAACTGTCTGACAGGCCTACTCGACGAGTCCATAATTGAACTCGACGAGTAGGATGAGTTTAGGCATGAACTCGACGAGTCCATAGATGGGCTCGACGAGTTGCTTGTCCAGACAACAAATTTTTAGGTTTTTTGGTCTGTTTTAGATTAGAACCATTACCACAAAATGTTTTAGTTCATAAAATTTGATTTTGTTGATATGGTAATGATGATTCTCATCCAATGAAAAGAAAATTGTCAAAATGTTTAAGAGAATTGTGAGTTTAAATGATAAACATTTTTTTTTTTTTGTAAATTGTTGATATGAATTATCTTGTCTTATGAGTTAATTTAGATCATAAAAATTATGTGTAAGTTTTGTTTGAAAAAATTGATCTTAAATGTTTTTAAAATCTTTCATAACTTGTCCTCAAGTTATGGAACATGAAGAGTCTTTTACATAAATGGTTTTATAAACTCCATAACTTGTCCTCAAGTTTTGGAATTTCTAGAGTCTTTTCATAAAAGACCACATTAACTCATAAGTTATGGAAACCAAGAGTTTTGAAAAGTTTCAAAACTTTCCCTCAAGTTTTGAAATTTGTAAAGTCTCACTTTTGAATACTTTAATTCCAAGCCCTCGAATTTTAAAAGTTAAAATTCAACCCCTTATACTATTATATTATTATAAGTTTAATAAATATATATATATATATATATATATATATATATATATGTGTGTGTGTGTGTGTGTGTATAAGACAAGTCAGTCTTACCGTTAGTAGACCTCATTCACGAAGCCGGTCTATAAATGGGGTATAAGGTTATTATCTATAAAATGACAGTTTAATGGGTGTCCACTCTCACCCACCACTTCCTTGAATGGTGGAGGGTCGTTAGTCAAACGGGTATGATAGGATATTAATTCTTATTATAAGTATAATGATAATTATAAAGTGACTAAAATTTTATTAAATTCCCAATCATAGTTACTTTAGGAAAAATGTGAATTTGGTGCTAACCCATGAAATTGCACTTTGCACCTTGTTAAGTCGTTAGTAGAGCGTGTGTGGTTAACTGACACACTAATCTGGGACTGGCAGTGTGTGGCAAAGGTAGCTTGATGTTAATCATAAATCAATGGAGTGCGTGTGGTTAACCGGCACATTGATTAGGTGGTTATAACATTGAGTGTACCAAGCTAATTTGCATGGTTATTCACACCTTGTTTGTGATCCTCAGCATCCCAGTCACAAACTTGAAGGGCACAATCGATATTTAAATATGCCATTAAAGAATTCAATGAATCTCAAAGGATTTAGGAATTTCAATCCAATTAAAACTTAATAATCAATTTCTTTTTTCATGGTGGAAATTGGTAAATCGTCATTTACCTACCTTCAAATATTTTGCATTCGGATTACGAAATCCTCTTCCGAATTGTAAAATATTGTGTTGGGTCCTAGCCTTATTATATTTGGGTGTTATATTAAGGAATTAAATCAACTGACTTGAATTTCTCCCATTATAGATGTCTAGGTCAGGCAACTATGGTCTTCCCAAATATTTTGGAATAAGCTTTCCTCTTGAAGATGATGTTCCACAGTTGGATCGTAGAAGTGGAAATCATACTTCATTTCCTCCACCTCCTCCAATTATTCTCCCTAACCCACAAGCTTGAGGAATTGAAAAGTTTAAGTTCACCCACGCCCTACTTGCAATGTAACATCAAAATGGAAGACTTATGTGTACTCATGTCTTGGAGATGAAGTCACATATTGACATGCTGAGAGTATTGGGTGTCGTTGTATAAAGGAAGTTGGTTGTTGATTTTGTTCTTTAATCACTTCCTGAGTCATATAGTGAGTTCATTAAGGACTACTATGTGACAAACCACAATATGACCCTTATTGATCTTACATATTTGCTTGTTGCTGCTGAATCAACAATGATTTGGTGCACTGGTAAAGCAAACTTGATTGGAAGATCAACCTCCCAAACTTCCATGGACATTGACAATGGGGACATTGGAAGTCCAGAAGATATTTCTCTTTGCAAGGCAAAGGGAAAGGCTAAGTCTCAAAGTGTCCCATGTACCAAAGAATCCATATGTTTCGATTGCCAAAAGAAGGGGCATTGGTTGTGAAGCTGGCATACTTACCTGAAAGATC